ATCATCAGGGAAATGAAAATCAAAACCACAATGAGATATCACTTATTTCCAGTGAGACTGGCCTTTATCAAAAAGTCCCAAAACAATAAATGTTGGTGTCGTTGCAGAGAGATAGGAACAATCATACACTGCTAGTGGGACTGCAAACTAGTACAACATCTGTGGAAAGCAATATGGAGATACCTCAAAGAGATACAAGTAGAACTACCATTTGATCCAGCAATCCCATTATTGTGCATCTACCCCAAAGAACAAAAGACATTCTATAAAAATCACATCTGCACTAGAACGTTTATAGCCGCACGATTCACAATTACAAAGATGTGGAAACAACCCAAGTGCGCATCAATACATGAGTGGATTAATAAAATTTATATGTATACCATGGAGTTCTACTCAGCCACAAATAAACAATGGTGATATAGCACCTCTTGTATTATCCTGGATAGAGCTGGAAACCATTCTATTAAGTCAAGTATCCCAAGAATGGAAAAACAAGTACCACATGTACTCACCATCAAATTGGTTTTAACCGATCAACACTTAAGTGCACATATAGTAATAACATTCATTGGGTGTCAGGCAGATGGGAGGGGGGAGGAAGGGATGGGTATATTCACACCTAATGTGTGTGGTGCGCACCGTCTGGGGGATGGATACGCTTGGAGCTTGACTCGGGTGGGGCAAGGACAATATACATAACCTAAACATTTGTACCCCCATAATATGCTGAAAGAAAAAGAAAAAAAATAAAAAATAAAGAAAAATGTATTAACTAGATTTAAAATTTAAAAAAAAGCAAAAGGACTTCTTTAGGCAGTGCTCATAAAGCAGAACCCAATCTAGTTAAGCCAGCAGTGTTCAGAGTCACTGACTGAAGTGCACAGGTGGATAAGTACCCCTGTTCCCCTGACCCTCCCTCTCTCCTTATTATAGATCGGCTCTGTTTCTATGTGAATGGGCATCCCTTAAAAAGAACTTGAGACATTTGAAAACTCAATAAAATGGCAAATGTCCCACTCTCTGTGAGAGAGAGGTAGAGTCAGGGTGTCTGACCCAGGTGATCTAGAGGACAGCAGAAGGGAAGCCGACAGCTCCAGCGGAGGCCGGGAGGGCGTGGGAAGGAAGGACAGGCTGAGCACTGCCCAGCCAGGGGGTCCTGGTGCAGCAACCATAGGGAGATGGAGTGGCACTGGGCAGGGCTGTCTGGACACATTCCAGCTAAAGCAGGGGACTGCAGGAGAAGAGCAGGGGAGGCTGGGAGAGGGATTCTGGACTCCCACAAGCCTGCTATTACAACTCACCTATTGAGAAAGGCAGAAAGGCTTCCCTTTTCTTAAACTGTCCATTTTCCAGAAAATGCTCGGGATTGAACGTGTCCGGGGTGGCCCACTCTGTGGGGTCCCTGTGCAGCGCAGTCAAATTTGTCAGGATCATAGTGCCCTAGAGAAGACAGCAAAGACTCAGGCAGGGCTTGACCCAAGCAGCACACCCATGCTGAGTGGTGGTGGTCCTTGGGCTTCCATGCCAGGACCTGAGCCACCCTCCAAAACCTACCCACAGTCTCATCAGCCCCCACCCCCATACCACACTCTTCGCATCAAACAGCTTACAGATTGGATTGGATTTGCCTGAAGGGAATTTTACCACAAAAGTTTGGTTACATTTGAGTGAAAAATGGATCCTTCCATTCTACACCAACAGGGACAGGTCGGTGTTGGTCTTGGGAAGGGACGTGTGTGCATGGATGGGAGAATAACGCTACAGCTGCTCACACCACATTCTACCGTGAAGTGGTCATGAAGTGCTAACTGTGGCAGCTCCACACAGGTAAAGGACGTGCCCTTCACCTGTGTTTCTCCTATTCTCTCCCCTCCAACATCTGTACCCTGCCCCCACACCCCATAGCAGGTCCAATAACAGCATCAGGTAGCCCAGTGAGAGGACCCCTCTCCACCCAGGCACATACTAGCAAACCCAAGAAAGCCCAGCGTGAGCCTTTCCCTCACTCTGTCTTCATCCAACCCATCAGTGAGACTCGTCCATTTTACTTTCAATTTCTCTTGATTCCATCACCTACATTTCATGCCCACCACCACTGCCTTAGTCTAGGCTGCCACTGTCCTGTAATAGCCTCCTAGCTGTGCCCACATCCTCTTGCCCCTTTCAATCTGCCCCATGCCCTGAAAGCAGAGTGAGCCTCGAGCATGATCTAGTGACATCACCCCCACAGGCTCACCCCTCGCATTCAAGACCCTTCAGCACCTTCTCATCACTCTCAGGGAGAAGTCCCTTCGACTGCCCCTGTCTGGGCCACTCTCCACCCCTGCCTGTGCCTCCTCTACCGTGGCCTTCTTTCAGCTTCTCAAACATATCATGTGCTCTCTCATTTCAATGTCCTTTTAAATGTTGTTTGTCTCGCCAGGGTGTTCTTCCTCCCCACTTGGTCTATGATCTAAATAACTTTTAATCATCGTTTAAGCCTCGGCTCAAACCTCACTTCCTTCTGGAAGCCTTCCCTGAGCACTCCTGCCCATCTGCACCTGTATAGAACCCAGTGAGTTCTTTCCTGTGGGCAGTTACCGTGGTTGTAAGTATGCACTTGCATGATTATTTTTGCTCACAGGTGTTCCATACCTGAGCATCTCAGGTGCCTAATGAATATTTGTTGAATTATTAAAGATTAATAATTGCCATTTTGAGCACTTTCTATACTAAGCACTGGGTTAAATGCTCTACATGAATGATCTCATTTTACCCTGTGGGTCCCATGAGGTGGGTTTAAACACATTTTACAGATGAAGAAATTTAAGCTCTGAGAGGTTAAATGTCATACCCAAACTCCCACAGTGGAGAGGATGGAGCTATGTCTTGAACTACGTCAATGTGATGTGAAAGCCATGGCTCTAGCCTCTGTAAGACATAGTTAATTCGATTTCTCAGTTCCCAGGATGGTTGATAAAGCTGACATTAAAAATAAGTGGTAGAAGAAGTCCGTTGAGCTGGCCTGGTCCCATGGATTTAAATGAATTGCTGGAAAAATGCTAACAGCACATAGGGAATTTAGACCTCAGCCTTTTCCACAAGATGGTCAATCAGTAATGAAATAGTAAAGGGACAGTTGGCAAGCAGTATCCAACGTGCAAGCTCTTCTGGTTCTACCTCCTGAGATATTCCCCAGGGACGACATACTTGGAGGGACTTAGACAGACTGGAGTAGAGTTACAGAGGCTGGCCAAGGTGGTGAGGAAGCAAGAGCAGAAACTGTAAAGGTGCAGTGTGGAGAGAGGACACCAGGGGGCGAAGGAGAGCTGTCTGCAAGATCACAAGAGTAGAAGGTGGAGTGAGATCATAGTCCCTTTGCGAGGACAGGGCATTTTTCAGGGACCAGTTGAAAAGTTGCAGGGAGATGCTTTTAAATTCAAAGAAAAGCAACTCCTGTGGAGGGAGTATGGTATAGTACAAAAAATGAGAAAATACATCGGGTTCTGGATCTCCAAATCTCACCCCTTTGTGGTTGAGAGATCTCATGCAAACTTGATTTATCTGAGCCTTGACTTCCCAACCCATAAAATGGGAATAACAGATTTATTCAGAGAAATGAGTAAGACGTTTTGAAAGAGGCTAGATCCACAACACAGAATCATTGCTTAGTAAGTGTTCAGTCCTTTCTCTCGTTTCTGATACTTAATTCTGCACACACTTGGATTTCCTCTCGTGACACAGAAGGTTCCCCAACATGAGGCTGTAAATAAAAGCTAGAAAAATACCTGTGGGATATTATGTTAGAAACATCAGCATGAATGCGATCTTTGCCCAGGTGGTGTCAAATGTCCTTTTGCATTCTCACATTTTATAACCCCAGGACTGTGAAGCAAAATTTTTCAGTCTGGCCAGGTCCCTAGTCCGGGGAGATGCTCTACCAAGGCAAACAAAAGGCATCTGTGGCAAAGTCTAATCTAGACCTGCTGCCTGCTGTGCCCACAGAGACTCACAACTCACATTAGCATAATGAAAATGCTGAGAGCCCCACAGCAAAAAAAAGCCAGTCTTTGCCTAAACACGTTTGGCCTGGAATCCTCTCTTCTCCTCTCCTCACATACCACTTAATACCTAGTTAAACTAACATTCTAAAAAGCCCACATGGAGAAAAAATTAGTATTATATCAGTAATAACACAGCTTTCTCCCCATTCACATGACTACACATGACAAGAACACATGTCACTTCTCAAGTTCATATTTCCACCATCTCAAAGAGGGGCTTGAAGAACTGAGGCGGGAGTGCCTACTTACCTTGGGCAGGTGGTACCCAGCCAAGGCAGTATCGACCGTCACTTCCCGGGGAACATTCACGGGGATGATGTTGCCCATCCTCTGCACCTCGTGGATGACGGCATTGGTGTAGGGCATGGACTCCCGGGCGGCCACACTGGGCTGCTGCCCCTGGCCAATCACTCTGTCAATCTCAGCGTGTACTTTTTCTGGAAAAGGAGAAGTTCCATTATTTTTTAAACTTTTATGCTTTCTTCTAAAGATATAGGAGTGGGCCCCAAGATCTCATTGGTTGTATTTCAATTACTGACCAGATTGCAAAGAAATAAAATGGTTCTAAACCCTTCAAAGGGCTTTTTTAGAAAATTACCAATTCCGTAATTCTGTTTGAGCCTGGCTCAGCTAAGGAATGGAATAACCAGGATCATCGTGCTTATAGAAGGATCTTGTCTTTGTCGATTCAGGCTGCTATAATAAAATACCATGAGCTGGGGAGCTTACAAACAACAGAAATTTATTTCTCACAGTTATGGAGCCTGGGATGTACAAGATCAAGGCAACAGCAGATTTGGTGTCTGGTAAACACCTACTTTCTGACATATAAATGGCACCTTCTCACTGCCTCCTCACATGGTGGAAAGGGAAGGCAGCTCCCTAGGATTTCTTTTATAGGAGCACTAATGCATCCATGAGCTAATCACCTCCCAAAGGTTCCCACCTTCCAGTACAATCACACAGGTAATTATTCTAAAACAGATGAATTTGGGGGAGGGGGGACAAATACGCAGACCATTGCACAAGTATAGACTGTAATTTTTCAAGGAGGTATATCAGAGTAGAAAGTGGGCCCTGGCATATGACCACTGGGGTTACAAACTCTTGTGCTCTATAACTTTACTGCCCCAAGTTACTTAAAGTGTTTGAACCTTAGCCTCAATCTACCTTCATCTTAAGGATGTTTTGGGATTTATGAACTGATTTAGGTGAGTACCCAACAAATGACAGAAACTGGTGGCTATCCCCCAATATCTTTTTTTTTCTCTCTTTTTCTAAAGATTTTCTTGAGATATCTGTTTGTGCAGCTCAAGTGCACATTTCCCAGATTCCCTTGTGACTAAGTGTGACCATGGGACTCAGTTCTGGCCAATAGAATGTAAGCAAAAGTGATGATCAATCCTTGGAACAAGCCCTTAAAGAAAGGGTCTGTGTTTCCCTTTTTCCCTTCCTAGGGTGGAAAGGCAGCCCTAGTGGGAGCCTTCTTAGAGACAGCCAATGAGGGCATCATTCTAGACACAACAGCGACAAGTGGCAAGGAGTTGAAACCCTAAGTGCTTTGCAAAGTCCAGATTAGATTGTTTTACCCGAGAGAGAATTAAATTTCTATCACTTATTTTCACTGCTGAATATTTAAACATTTTTCTCAATTTGGCTAAAATACAATAAAATTTACCATCTTAGCCATTTTTAAGTGTACAATTGAGTACTGTTTAGTATATCCATGCTGTTATGCAATCACTCTCCAGAACTTTTTCATCTTGCAAAACTGACACTCTCCATATATTAAACAATTCCCCATTTGCCTCTCTCTCAGCCTCTAGCCAACACCCTTCTACTTTCTGTTTCTACTAATTTCACTACTGTAAGTGGGATCATACAGTATTCATGTTTTCGTCATCAGCGTTTTTAATTTAGCATGATGTCCTCAAGGTTTATCCATGTTGCAGCATGTGTCAGATTTTCCCTCTTTTTAAAGGCTGAATAATATTCCATTGCACGTATAGTCCCCATTTTGTTTATCCATTATTCATCAGTGAACACAGAATTCATTTTTCCTCTTGGCAATTGTGAATAATATTCCTGTGAACATGAGTGTAAACGTCTATCATTTTAATCCATTGTTATTTTGGAGCCTCTATTCCACAAGCCAAATCTATACACTAATTCAGTAGCTTTTAAACATTCTAAAAAATGCAATGCACAGTAAGAAAGGCACCTTCCGTAATGACTCAGGATGCATACACATAAATATACACACATATAAAGCACCCATTTAGGCATCTATAAATGAAAGAAATAAAGTTCCATGAACAAACTTACCCTTAGTACATGGGAAACACTCTGATCTTTTCTTTTCTATATTTATCTTAGGGAATAAAGTTGGTCCAGATCCATTAAATTGAGTTTATGCCTCATTAATCAATGTTACCCACAATGTGAAAAACTGTATCATAACAGTTCCCATCCCCCATGTGCTCGAACTGTTCTGGAACATGAAGGAAGAGAAATGATGGGAACAGTCACTGCTCTTGAGTGGACACAGTCTGCAGGGAAGCTATAGAAATAATGTGGGGCAAGCCCAATAATGGAGGCAAACTGAGTCATCTCTAGAGGAAGAAAATCCTCATAATTTCCCAGGAGAGAGAAAAACATCTTAGGGAGGGAGCATTTGAGCAGATTCATCAAGAAGAGATACAAGTTTACCATGTAGAGTAATTGGGAAGCACATTCTCAGCAGGTATCTGGACAGAGAGGCATAAACAAGGACAGTGCAAAGGAAAGGACATGGAATGCAGTCATTAGATGAGGGGCAGAGACTGGGCAGGCAGAAAGGAGCACATCAGAGGGATCACATAGTGGGCTCAGGAGTTTGGAGATTACCAGAGGAAATTGGAAGGCATTACTTAAAAGAAGGGCAGGGCAGCACTAAATTTTCACATGAGAATGGAACACTTTCCTGGAACTTTCCAGAATCTTGACTCACTTCACTGTTTCCCCTCTTGACTCCAAGCTTCTGGAAGACAGGGATTCTCTCTTGTATTTGTGTTACCTGGATCCATCCCAGCCCTGACAGACAATTTGAAGAATGTGCCCATTCCCCAGTCTCCATCAGCTGATTATTCACTGCTCCTTCCATTCCACCATGTTTTCTTATGGCCCCTGTGTTGGGCAGGGCGTCCCAGGAGGCCTTATTTTGTCCTGCGTGGGGCACGCACACTGACACACCCACCTTGGATTTCTGGGTAGAGGGCCAGGTAAAGCAGACCCCAGCGCAGGGTGGTAGAAGTTGTCTCGGTTCCGGCAAAGAAGAGGTCCAGAGTGCTCCAGATGAGGTTCTCTTCATGGAAACTTGAAGTGGCCTTGCCTGCATTCTAGGGAGGACAATATTTACTGTTATAGGTTGGTTTATTCATAGGATTCCTGGTTACCGTAACATGCAGGGGTTTCATCCTCGGAGGGAGATTGGAAGGAAAGGTCCCCAGAAGAAACAACTTCCCTTTTGACATCCTCAGGAGGCAGGGGCTTATTATAGCAATATAATTAGTATCGTCCTGCCCCAAGTGCTACAAGCTTTTTGGTAGATGAAAATGAAAGATAATTATTTTCTTATGCCCATAATTTGAAAGAAGCTATTAGTCCAGTACAAGGAGTATGGGATGGGAACAAGACAGATTTGGCTTCCAATATCAGCCACTTCACTTGGCAGCTGTAGGACCTAAGGCAAGTTACTTAACCTCCCTGTGCTTCAGTTTTCTATTTCATAAAATGGAAATAACCACACACACCTCTGAAGATGACATTGTGGGAATTACGTGAGATGCGAGGGCACGTAACAAATGCCCAACAAATGTTTGCACTGAAAACAGAAAAAGCAAACAGAATTCCTCTTATGAACAGTTCTCCTATTGCCTCATTAATCTTTTCCTTTCCAATTTGCACTACTCTGATTTCAAAACCATTTCTCATGATACCCTGTCATCTTTACCATGCTCCCCTGGAAGCTTCCATTTGTCCAGCATTGCTCTTAATATTCATGGTCTCATACTTGTACATCATCAAGCTAGTAAAGTCTCCTCCTCTGGGGAGAAAGCACTGCCTGTATTAATTTTATGTCAATAAAATGAAATAAGATGTAAAGAAATCATCATTCTGTCCATTCCATGAGGAGGACCCAATAATCGATGTGTAAAGATTATGGCACTGATTCAGTGATGTATATTAGTCAGAGAGGTCACTTAGGAAAAGGGCATGCGTCCAGTTTGGCTTCCTACCCTGGCTTCTGGCCTATAATGTAGGAAAGTGGATGCTATCAGGAGAAGGGGGAAGGCAAAGTCCCATCAAGCCCCGAGGTTAAACTGTGGCATCCAGCGCAGCTTTCCTTGTGTTCTGCAGTGGGGGATGAGAGAAGGGGTAGGTCACTGGGCCCAGGCCCAAGTAATGATAAAACAGAGCTTTGAGGCTCAAGTGCTGTTTTTCCCATTGTGTACAGCTCCTTCAGATATGGGTAGAGGGAGAGGATGGGGATGAAAGGCAGTATTGGACATTCACATTAACCCCCCATCTTTATTTCTAATTGTCTCATCAGTCCTGAGTTAGTACTACCTTATACTTTCTGAAATACTGCCCCAGGTTTGATTCCCCAGTGGTAGGCAGAGATATGGCCCACAAACATGTCCATCCACATCCTAAGCTCTGGCGCTCTGGAAGTTAGTTTATATGGCAAAAGGGACTTTGCAGATGGGATTAAGTTAAAAATCCTGAGATGGAAAAATTATCCTGGATTATCCCAGTGGGCCCAATGTAATCAGAAGAGTCTTTATAAGAGACAGGCAAGAGGGTCAAAGCCAGAGAGAGAAGATATAAGGATGGAAACAGAGATCAGAAGCAGAGAGGAGGCTATGCTGCTGGCTTTGAAGATGGAGGATGGGGCCACAAGCCAAGGTATATAGGCAGCCTCTAGAAGCTGGGAAAGTCACAAAAAGATTTTTCTGTGGAGCCTCCAAAAGGAAGTAGCCCAGCCAACACCTTGACTTTAGCCCCATGAAACTGATCTCAGACTTCTGACATCCAGAACTGTAAGAGAATAAATTTGTGCTATTTCAAGCCACCACGTTTGTGGTAATTTGATACAGCAGCAATAGGAAACGAGCATAGCCCTATTTGCTTTTAAGAACAAAACACAGGAAACAACTTTGGTTTCCTCACCTTGGCCATTTCCTTGAGGTAAGCATCAATAAAGTCTCTTGTTTCATCAGGATTCCAGTCTCTCTTGTGATTTGCAATTATACGAGAAACAAACGATTTCAATTTTTCCCAATTTCTGAAGACTGTTTGGTGGGATCCAGGAAGGAATTTCATTATCCGTGGGAAGATACTGTAGAGCTAATTGAGCGAAAGAAAACCATTGTGGAGAAAACGTGGTGCCATTTTTCCATCATTTAACACAACGGAAGGCAACTTCCTTCCATATCTTTCATTGGCTCACACTTAAACCTTGATGAGCCGTGACCCCGTTTTTCTCTCTCACCCATCTAGAAAAGCACTTCAGCTCTCTGTCCAAAATGTATCCAGCCGGTAGCACTTCTGGCCACCCCAACGGCTTGCCATCGGGGTGCAAATCACCACCATTCCTTCCCTGGATGCTGTAAGAAGAGCTTTCCACAGTTTTGTGATTCCATTGCCAACCCCATTCCCAGCCCATCTTCCCCAGAGCTGCCAGAGGGATCTTTTAGCAGTTTAACCTTGTCATTTCACTCCTTGGCTCTCAGTCCTCACGGCTTTCCACCACACAAGGACTAAGTCCCATGTCATTCCTCCGGCCTGTAAGCCCCACCGAGCTGAGCCCTGCAGACTGGCTGGCTCCTTCCTAACCTTGCTCTCTACTGTCCAGCAGTGACCTCTGGGATCACAGCAAGGACACTCCGGTTTGAGGCCTTTGCAGTTGCTGTTCCCTCTGCCTGGAAAACTCTTCCTCTGAAGTCCACATATCCCCAGCCCCTCACTTAGGGCTCTGTTCTATGTCACCTCCTCAGAGCTATTTGATTGATGATCCCATAAGCTGAAGGACTTTTGTCACCTTCCATCTATTTTCTTGTCCTGTTTTGTTTTCCGTCATGGCAATTATCACTAACGTGTATGTGTGTGTGTGTGTGTGTGTGTGTGTGTGTGCATATTTGTCTCCCCCACCGTGTTGTGATCTCCATGTGGGTAAGAATTCAGTTTTCACTGAAATAAAGTGGTTGTTGAATAAACTTTCTGTAATATATGGTGAAAAATGAAGAGCATCAAATAATGAAAAAATTCCTAGAGTTACAATGGGACAGACGTGGTGCGACTATTAGCTTTGCTGCTTTCTAGATATAATAGTTTGATTACAGTAATAATAATAATAATAATATTCTTTGTACCTTGTTGATCCTTAGTTAACTAGCTGCCAGTCGGGCTCCAGCATGGTTCTGGGGACCGAGTGACATGAGATACACAGAGCGCTCAGCACAGAGCTGGCGGACCACTCTCTGTACTTGCCTGCACAGTCCCATGCCAGCTTGCACACACTATGTTACCTCATTTCATCTTTACAGAGTTGTTGCGAAAATTAATGGAGATAAAGTATGTGTAGTTGTCCATCAGAGAGCCCAGAATGTTCTGAGACTCCAAGAAATTCTTATTACCCCTATCGTGCTGTGCCTGTGTTCTCTTCCCGGACACATGGACTCAGGAGTCAGCTGGGCACCCACTCTAACTCTCATCACTTCCTAGACTCTACCTTAATAAGAAGAAGCCAGTGGAATTGCTGAACTGGAGACCACCATGCCTAGTAATGCAAACAAGGAATTCAAAATAACTTTGACAGTAATAACGGCTCATATTCATTATGTTTAAGTGTGATCGGTCCATAAAGTTCCCACATAAGATGCTTGTCAGGAATAAATAAAAATAAATGCACTTCTATATACACCACAGGGAAACTAATAATCAGTAAAATTATATAGCTTTACACCTATATAGTTAGATACACACAATAGTGGTCAGAAAAGAAAAAAATATTTTTGAAGGAACAGCAGTTACACTTCTAGCTGACTTTCCATGGCACAAGTGGGAATCCAGAGGATAGTGGAATAACATTTTGCACATGCAAAGAGAAATTTAAAAAAACAGTCAAAATAAAAACAATTTCTAAGTAGAGCAAAATAAAGATATTTTTGAATAAGTGAAATTGAAAAAGTTTGCCACCAACTGACCCTCACTATAGGAAATTCAAAAGGAGGCTGTGAAATATAAGACAGGATGATGAAAAAAGAGACTGATAAATATGTGAGTAAATATAAGCAAACATCCATTGCATAAACAGTAATAATCCTGCATACTTTGGAATTAAAAAAGAAACAGACTAAAATACATGACACTGGTAGCCTAGATCACTGATCAGATGTCATGTTGCAAAGTTCTTGCAGTATTCTGGGGGATGATAAAGATACTAATTTTTGATGCTGGTGGCTTAATTATGAATATTGAAATTTTCAGGTAAAGACTAAAATAATAGAACAAGCCTGTTCATCTTCTAAACGAACACAGGGAAAAGGAAATGAGAAGAACATTCAATCATAATAAGTCAAAGAAGGAGAAAAGAACAGATGAATAGAAATCACAAAATGATGAGAAATTAGTTCCAATTTGGTTATAATTTTGATTAAAAGAAAAGGAACTAAATGGTCCAACAAAAAGACAACGACTTTCAGATTGGGTATGAAATTTACATCTAGCTTTGCCCTGTTTAAACAGGAAGCATCTAAAATGTAAGGGCGTAGGAAGGTAGAAAGTGGGATAGAAGAGCAGTAGCCAGACAGTAAGCAAAGGAAAGACAATTACCTTTATTCATATCAGACAACATAGTCTTTAGGGAACAAAATTTTAATAGACATAAAGAATGTTACTAAATGGTTAAAAAAAGTTTCAATTACTAATACTCAATAATGATTTAAACATGTATATATCTAACAACATAGCTGTAAAGGATATAAAGTAAAAATCGACAGAAATATAATGAGAATGAGAAAAAGCCACCATCTTAGTAGGAAATTTTAGCACACTGGGTACTCTAGCCAGCACAATGAAGCAAGAAAGAGGAATCAATGGATAAGGATTGGAAAGGAAGAAACAAAGCCTCCTTTATTTCCATATATATGATTGCTTATGAAGTCATCCAAAGATGAATTAAAATACTGTTACGAGTTTACCAAAGTTGATCAATGCAAAATCAGTAACCATAAGTCAATTGCAAAGAGGGGAAAAAAGAATTACAATATCGCCTGTTTGAATCCTGCAAAGAAATAATGCATGTAGGTGATGATCATCAATAATTTTTGTAACCATTAGGTAAAAAGCAGAAGGGTGATGATATAATAGATAAGACTGAAAACACCTGAACGCACTGATCAATATTAACATGAGACAACCAGACATTAAGTACCTCCTAAAAAGCAGCCTTTTCAACAAATAAAATCTTATTTTGATCAATCCTCTAGATTCAGTTACCAATGTATATAAAACATAGGAATAGAAGAACATGTTACTAACCAAAGAAATGCAAGCACTAAAATCCAGAATGTGGACTTTTCTACAGAGTAAATGACTCAATTTTGTCAATAAACATAATACATTTTAAAGAAAAAAAAGAGGATTGGCAGGAAGCCATGGATTGAATGAGACTTAAGAGACATAGTAACCAAATATAATATGGGCCTCGTCTGGATTATGATTCAAAGAAAACCATGAAAAAATATTTCTGAGACATCTAGGGATATCTGAGCACTGGCTAGGCGTTTTAAGGTATTAAGTAATTATTGTTTATATTTTTCAGATGCAATAATATTTTATTTTTGTTAAAATGGGTCCTTTTAGAAATGTACACTGAAATATTTATGGGAACAAATCATTCAGGTCTTTAATTTGTTCCAACTAATTCACAGGTGGGGTGTCCTGGATATAGGTACTAATAAACTGAGCTCAGTCATATGTTGATCATTATCAGAGCTGATTGATAGGTACACATTGATCAAATATTGTACTCTCTGTACTTATGTGTATGTTTGTAATTTTCAAAAAAAAATGCTTTTTTTCAAAACTGAGGAAATATTTTAAAATTTTGTCAATGGCAGACTCAGAAATTCAAGGCCAACCCTTTTACTAAGAACACCAGGATTAAAAAAATACACATGTGGGTACACATATAAACACACACACACACACACACACACACACATACTTACACACCAAGGTAGTGAGGGAATTTCAGAGACAAGGCTTAGGGGAAGAAGGAAGCCCAGGGGTGAACCGAACACTTGGTGGTGAAATTTCCTGTAGAAATGTCTTCCAAATTCAGGAAAGTGGCTGAGAGAACAAGAGACTAAGCACGGTCTTTGACACAATGAAGGGCCTAGAGGGAGAAAAATTGGGGTGCAGAGCCCACCAAGGAAGAAGTGAGATTTCATCCCCAAAGGGCTACACCCTGTGAAACCAGAAGATTGATAATAGTGTCGGTGGGCATGTAAATAGCATAATCAGTTTGGAAATCTTTAGGCATCTTTGATGTCCACATATATATGCAAGAGAAGGAGTGGATGTGTCCACAAGAACACTTGTAGAAGAATGTTCAAGGCAGCTTTATTCATAACATGGAAAACCTGGAAAAAAACTAAATGTTGATCAATAGAGAATTGATTAACAAACAATGGCACATTCTCACAATGGAATACTAGTCTACATTTACAAAAAAAGAGCAACCAAATCAGATGAATCTCAAAACCACCTGCTGAGCAGGAAGCCAGACACAGAGAAGGACCTGAGACAGAGGAGGGAAACGGGTGGGTTGGGGAGAGACAGAGAGAGGAGGGACTCAAAGGCAATGGCAATATTGTTCTTTCCAGAAAGAACAACATAAGTGCACAGATGTATGTCATGTAAAACTTTGTACTTTACATGAATGATAGAAATGTTTTTTGCATATGGTAAACACTTGGTAAATATTTAATAGTATTAAAAACACTAGAGTCAACAGATTAATTTCAAATAACTTTGTATTGGAATCAAATTTGAAAGGCAATTTCTAGGTTTAACTCCCCACTCCCACCCCCCCTCAAACAAAACAAAAAAGAAAAACCCATCTGTATCTGACATCAGCCCCAATATCATTTACCAAGATATTGAAAGAAAAATTCCTTACCTGGCATGCCATTGAAGCCTCTGTAAATGTGGCCTCATCCAGTAATCTCAGCAGCTCCTGAAACTGACCATCTTGGTACTCAAATCGCTTCCCGAAGGTGATGGAGCAAATGATATTGGAAACTGCATTGTTGATTTTGAAGTGAGGGTCAAAAGGCTGCCCTGGATGGGGAGGAAGGACAAGACGGGTTGGTTTCTAGTTCCTACTGAGACTCTACTCTCTATGACATAGGGCATACCTAGCACTGAACCATACATGAGGCCTGGCCACACCACCTCTCCCTGGGTCTGACATACAGCAAGTACTCAGCCAATGCCACAATCAAACTGATGACCAGGACTTAAATTCAGTAATGTGTTTTTTGCCCATTCTCATGCATTTAATTCTAGAACTCCTTGAGGGCAGGGTCATGGATCGTTGTTCACTGTTCTATGCTCAGTACTTAGCACAGTACTGAGCAGAGAACAAGCATTAGGCACTGCATAAATATCTACCCAATGAAGGAATGGGCCACAATCTCCTACATCTGTCCTATGAAATGCTCACCGTTCTCCTCCTTGATTGCCTCAATGAGGTGGCGGGCCTCCTCCTGAATGCGTTCCTCTAAGCTCTTCTTTCCCAGACCAAAGTTCCTTAGTGCTGTCAGGGCGAACCTTCTTTGCTCCTTCCATACCTGGCCATTGGACATGATCAATCCTGGGGAAAAGACAGTCAATATTATGGTGTTCTGGTTCGATAATGTGAATTTTCATCAAATTGTATGAGGATGTGTATCAGATGGAGGGAAGGGGAAGGGTATCAATGTACTTAAAACCTGTTCAGAGAAATCATCCCAAAGCAGTGGACATAACTGACTTCTTGGGATGTTGGGCACTTTGGTAAATATTTTTATGCATTCTGTAATTTTTTACTCAAGAGAAATTTTGTGGGGTAGGTACAATTATTATCACCACCACCCCATTTTACTAATGAGAAACCTGAGAAACAGAGGATAAAAGTAAACATCATAAGTTCACACAGTACACAGCTAAAGAGGTGCTCAAACTCAGGTCTTCCTGATTCTAAAGCGCATGCTCTGATTATTAGACACATAAGTAAAGTGTTCATGTCATGCTAAATGCTACGAATGCACTTATGGATAAGATAATGTCCATATACTTAAGGAAGCAAGTAAAGGCTCTATAGGAGAGTTTTTATCTAATGGATCATAAAAAATGAAGGAATAACTCAAGACAGCAAAGAGGAGTGAATATTCCATACAGAAAGAACATGACAGGCAAAGGGAAAGAAAACCATCTTGGTGTGTTCAACAGACCATTATATGCCCACAACACAGGTGAGGCCATGCTCCTTTCCATTTCTTCACTTCCAGAGCAAGCTCCACTCCTTTCACACTTGGCTTTGGCCTCCGTCACCAATGAAATGGCCCTCCCTGCTGTCAGGTCCAAGGATACCTTTTGACCTCATCTTACTTGGTCTTGTAGCAGCATTAGACATTTCTTGATGGAAACACTCCCCTCCAGTGGTGCTGAGGATGCCTCGCTCTCGAGATTTTCTTTCTAATCCTCTGCCAGAAAATTCCCATATCTTTTGCTGGTTCATCTTCTTCTATTAAACCTTGAAATGGTGGAGTTCTTCAGAATGAGGTCTAAAGCCTCTTCTCTTCTCACCCTATATTCTGGGAAATCTTATCACTCCCTAAAACTTTAAATAGCATCTATTGATAGTGACCATCTATTGCTGTCCCTGAGTTCCAGACCCATATATATTAATACAAAAACTGCCTGACTTTGCTGACCTAAAGGCATTTCAAACTCAGCATATCCATGCTTGAACTCATGATTTTCGCCATACAACTCCCCACCCATGCCCAACCCAAGCAAACACCTTGTCCTTTTCTGAGTGTTCCTTCTTTCCATCATTGATCCATGTAGGTGTCACCTCCACACCTCATTTTCCCTGCCTCTAGGCCATCATGTGTTACTAGGTTCACCTCCTGGATGTCTTGAATCCATGTGTCTTCACTGTCACTACCCTGGTCTAACCTACTATCATTTCTCTCCACCCGTTGGTCCAAGCTACCACCTTCTCTAACCTACAAAGTTACACCAGGCTCTTTTTCTCTTTAGTCCATTCTCTAAATGACAGCCTAAATGAGCCTTAAAAATGTACAGTGTAAATATGATAATTTCCTTCTCTACTTAAAACCATTCAAGAACTTCTGTTGTTATTAGGATCAAAACCAACATCCTTAATGAGAACTTGCATGAACTATTCCTGGCCAAGTGCAGCAGCTTCATTTTCATTTAATTATCTCCTTTTAATCCCTGTCATTGCCACATTGGCCACCTTTCAATTCCTCAAGTTCACTGTCTTCTGTAAACTTCATGGACTTTTATATTCTTTCCCACTGCTTGATTGTTTTTTTTTACTCCATTAAATTAGGTTTTCCTAAATCCGAGGACTACCTTAGATAACTTTGATAAGTGCATCCTGCATTTATCATCTTAACACTATAGGCTTTAGACTATTATGGTTCATTGATACTGTCTTTCACAGTGAATAGAAGCTATATAAGGACGTAGATTTCATCTGTTCTACTCATCGTGATATCACTCCTGCCCAGCACTGTGCTTCACGTGGCAGACAGTACAGTAAATGGATATAGAATTAATTGATTAACATTACAAGGGAAATTGGGAAGCACCTCAAAATGGTGCTTTGACAGAGTAATAGAGTTGAAATTTCATTTTAGTTTCTAAATGTTTAATTTTCTTTAACGATAATCTTAAGTATTCCTGCCGACCTGTTCTAACATAGACGCTAAGGCTGGAGATCCCTAGTCAGCATGGCCTTCATGGTAGAGCATACGGAGCTAGAGACAGAACGCAGCGGCAGAAGGAAGCAGATCCACATCCATTTTCCTAAGGGAAGAGGCTTGGAATGGGACAGCAGAGAGATAGAACACGCCGCCTCTTCCTCTGCCGTAACTGGGTGACGTGGTTACGTCATTGTAAAAGCATCTGGTGTGAGTTTGTGCAGGGCATGTGGCTTCTGCCAAATCTCTAGTCTGGCTGACCCTGTGAAGTGCTCTGAGGGGGTGACTTCATGAGGAATGTGGGCACCCAGCTTCCGTTATAGGCAGGATATTTATAATGGGACCAGTTTTGGGGGTTGTTGGAAAGTTATAGTTACAGAGGCACCTTTAACAGACCATAAGCATATCAAACACACACTTTCAACTGACCAAGAAACTTACCATTTCCCTTAATGATACGTTCTCGGATAGGGGAAACAGGGCGGTTCACAAAGTTTTGGTCCATGTGGATGAGAGCTTCTTTGATCAAGGGCAATCCAGTAATAACAACTGTAGGTATGTCTCCAAAGTCCAGGCTAAGAAGGTTCCCATATTTCTTCACAAACTGAAAAACAGTTAAGTTCTCACAGCTGAATATGCATACACCTGAGTGTTCACAAATGGAGGTTGTGTGTGTGTAGCTGGAGGGGCTCACATTGAGGGGAACGTGCACACGTGTGTGCACACCCTTGTGTGAGGGGAATGTTCCTGTTTCCTTTTCTTCTCCTCCTCTCAACAAGGCTCAAAGTCAATTCACTTCAGGATGTGCAAGGTTCCTTATAAACATCCATTCACATACTCACCCAGCATGAATTGAGTGAGCATCTAGCATGTGTCCCTAGAGCAAGGCATGAGGCTGTAACTGTAATAATATAAACAAGGTCTCTAACCTCAAGCATTCTAGAATTTAGCCAAGAGAGAGAATTCAGCACATCTAAACCACCGCTGAAGGCTGAGATATGTTTAGTATAAGTCTGTGTATCAGGGACTTCTTAGTAAATCATGTCTGTTTGACTAAAGACAACACCCCCTTCCTACACTGGCCGTAGGTAATAGAAACACATGCTCCACAACAGAAGGCGCATTACAGGGTGGACCAGGCATGGAGAAAGCTCTCTAGCGCTGGAGTGATGTGAGAATCTCGGCTCTACATTTCAGTTGCTGTGGGCTCTTGGGAAGTTGCTTCCCTTTTTGGGCCTCAGCTCCCCGTCTATAAAAGGGACAAAGTTATTCCTGTCTCAAAGGGTTCTGTGAGGAAGAATGAAGGCAGCC